ATACGCGCGATGTGACGAGTGTCGGGGCGGGACGCATGCGTCGATCCGTTTGATAAAGCATTAAGGGGTCGGGATTGGTGTCGTAGTTGAAGACTGCGTGGGGTCAGGGTACATGAAAGTAATAGTCTACCTACAATACCCCGAAAATCACGTGGGTGGGATGGCTCATGTTTTTTGGTACATTAGTACGAAGAGGATTCCACGAAAATGCGGTCGATTATGATGATGATGATGATGACAGTTCTTCTTCCTTTATCTCCATTTAATGCGCTCTGTCTCTCTCTTTATGTCCCCCCTCTCCCCGGCCTTGTTTTACCGCCAAAACGCTTTTGAGATTAGAGGGCGTGTACGACTTTAATCTACTCCTATCCTTTTGTTTGACAAAGTCATTTTATACGAATATGGCGGTCTTCTGGGTTGTAGCTTCGTGTAGTCTGGTAGAAGTTTACCGACGTTTCGCAGGTCCTTTTTGCCTCCATCATCAGGGCGGAGAATCCTGATGATATGGAATTAAGCACTTCTGAAACGTCGTAGAAGACGGACATCTTCAACCTCGCTGCCGAGAGAACACCAGAAACTTCACTTGTTTCCAGTTGCTCCGCGTTATTGACGTCACTTGTGACAGAGAGAAAGTTTAATAAACACAGGAACAAGCGGAGAGGAATAAAGCCCGGAAGTAAGAAAGAAAGGCAACTAGGAAGCGAATTATCGTAGAAGAGAAGGACAGGTAGAGCCAGAGACGCGTTCCGACGCCGGCAGGCGCGCAAATGGACGGCTCTCGCCGCCACACGCGAAACGATATTTAGATGTGTGGGGGTCAAAGTGCTGGCCACTTCGAACACGATCGTCAGCTGTTCTCTTTCCAGCTTTGAACATCGTTTCTTTTAAAATATACCGACTTTGAAAAAAAAACCCACGTGACTTTATACTTCTCATCAGTTATCGATATATCGATCGATATACCGAGTTTTTGATTATTTTAACAAGTCTCGGTAGAAAAGTGTGGCAGAAGAGATGGAAAGGAAAATGAGAGAGAAGTTATAAAGAATGTGAACAGAATAATAATAATAATAATAATCTCTAACAATAAAACTATATAATACATTTAGCACGTATTAAAAGCGAAATGTATTTTGGAAATGGTCGCTGCACTAAGTACCTTAGGGACAAGGTCTGTCTCGGGTACTTGGAGGTAAATACCCTGTAAAATGTTGAATAGGTGGGAAAATAAAAATAATAATAAATAAGGAAATATAACATAACGAGAAATTATACGAAGATAAGAGTAAGAAAGAGATATAAAGAGAAATAATAAAGAACTAGGAAGACTAGAGAGGCAAGAAGATAAAAGAATGTTTTGAGAGAAAGAATGCAAGAAGTTGAAGGAACGGATAAAGTAGGAACTAAATAGAAGAAAATTAAATGAAAAAATAAGGACAGGCAGAGCAGGAAGACGGTCGTAATGCGATCGGTTGCGTCGCTTGAGGACGAGCCACTGGCAGGACACACCTGTTGGAATGCGCTCGGAAGCTACGTCCTTTCTCGTCTTCACTTCGCAAATGACGACAAATGGCGTTTATGAATACGCGCGATGTGACGAGTGTCGGGGCGGGACGCATGCGTCGATCCGTTTGATAAAGCATTAAGGGGTCGGGATTGGTGTCGTAGTTGAAGACTGCGTGGGGTCAGGGTACATGAAAGTAATAGTCTACCTACAATACCCCGAAAATCACGTGGGTGGGATGGCTCATGTTTTTTGGTACATTAGTACGAAGAGGATTCCACGAAAATGCGGTCGATTATGATGATGATGATGATGATGATGACAGTTCTTCTTCCTTTATCTCCATTTAATGCGCTCTGTCTCTCTCTTTATGTCCCCCCTCTCCCCGGCCTTGTTTTACCGCCAAAACGCTTTTGAGATTAGAGGGCGTGTACGACTTTAATCTACTCCTATCCTTTTGTTTGACAAAGTCATTTTATACGAATATGGCGGTCTTCTGGGTTGTAGCTTCGTGTAGTCTGGTAGAAGTTTACCGACGTTTCGCAGGTCCTTTTTGCCTCCATCATCAGGGCGGAGAATCCTGATGATATGGAATTAAGCACTTCTGAAACGTCGTAGAAGACGGACATCTTCAACCTCGCTGCCGAGAGAACACCAGAAACTTCACTTGTTTCCAGTTGCTCCGCGTTATTGACGTCACTTGTGACAGAGAGAAAGTTTAATAAACACAGGAACAAGCGGAGAGGAATAAAGCCCGGAAGTAAGAAAGAAAGGCAACTAGGAAGCGAATTATCGTAGAAGAGAAGGACAGGTAGAGCCAGAGACGCGTTCCGACGCCGGCAGGCGCGCAAATGGACGGCTCTCGCCGCCACACGCGAAACGATATTTAGATGTGTGGGGGTCAAAGTGCTGGCCACTTCGAACACGATCGTCAGCTGTTCTCTTTCCAGCTTTGAACATCGTTTCTTTTAAAATATACCGACTTTGAAAAAAAAACCCACGTGACTTTATACTTCTCATCAGTTATCGATATATCGATCGATATACCGAGTTTTTGATTATTTTAACAAGTCTCGGTAGAAAAGTGTGGCAGAAGAGATGGAAAGGAAAATGAGAGAGAAGTTATAAAGAATGTGAACAGAATAATAATAATAATAATAATAATCTCTAACAATAAAACTATATAATACATTTAGCACGTATTAAAAGCGAAATGTATTTTGGAAATGGTCGCTGCACTAAGTACCTTAGGGACAAGGTCTGTCTCGGGTACTTGGAGGTAAATACCCTGTAAAATGTTGAATAGGTGGGAAAATAAAAATAATAATAAATAAGGAAATATAACATAACGAGAAATTATACGAAGATAAGAGTAAGAAAGAGATATAAAGAGAAATAATAAAGAACTAGGAAGACTAGAGAGGCAAGAAGATAAAAGAATGTTTTGAGAGAAAGAATGCAAGAAGTTGAAGGAACGGATAAAGTAGGAACTAAATAGAAGAAAATTAAATGAAAAAATAAGGACAGGCAGAGCAGGAAGACGATTGTGAAGCGATCAAAATAAGGACAGGCAGAGCAGGAAGACGGTCGTAATGCGATCGGTTGCGTCGCTTGAGGACGAGCCACGGGCAGGACACACCTGTTGGAATGCGCTCGGAAGCTACGTCCTTTCTCGTCTTCACTTCGCAAATGACGACAAATGGCGTTTATGATTGCAGGTGAATTATCTGAGGACGCTACAGCGCCGCCCGGAAAACGATCCCTGTCTCTTTCTCTCTCTCTCTTTTCTTGACACGTGACAGCAGAGCGTTTGCTTAATCTCCATTTTTCAGTTCTGGTCGCAAAAGAAATTTTGTTCAGCTCTTCGAAGTCGAAGGACAGTGAAAGCGTAGAAGAGAGATTTTATTTCTGGAGGGAAAAAGAGAATCTATCGTCTCAGCCTCCAGTTCATTTCATTTGGCGGTTAGTTTATGGGAGGTACTGGATAAAATAATATTTTTTACGTAATGTTGTATCGGTGTTTGAATCAAGACCGATTAATACATCTTGGATACGAAGCACGTATGGGGAAAACAAGGTTCTGTTTGTCGGTCCCCAGTACGTTTAAAACCTTATTGGTTTCCAGTCGGGGAACTCCCCGAGAATGGTGATCACGTGATTTCTGTTTCTTAAGCCGGAAGCAGACAAAGGCAAAAAAGTTTTGTCACCTTTGTTTGCGATGTTTCTGAACAGTCTTTGTTAACGGTGTTGACAAATTTCGATGTCCAGACCAAATCGTCCTCCCCCCCACTCCCCCCAGAAACGTCTATCCTGTCAATTTTGCAGTAGAAGAAACAGTTTCTTGCTTGCCAATCATTCAGCTGATTAACTTAATGCCTAGCTATATCTGCAACTTCTCCGACTACTCGCAGCGGCGTGTAGCCTACCCGCGGCTCTGCAGGCGTTTCAAAAACCGAGTGTCATGTCTGCAAATAACTTTGTTACAGACAGGAAAGTCGGTGTTTTAAATTTACGTAATTACAAGGAGAGTGTTCCACTAGTCATTCAGGTTGAAATAAATTATTATTTAAATTTCTTATCGTTACTGAACGTCGTAGTTGAGGGAACACACCTACTTTGTATTCCGGAGGTCTCGGGTTCAATTCTGGGACACGGGAACCGGAAATCCTTACTGAGTGGTTCTCCTCAGTCCTTCCTGCAAATACCTGGTCGCGACGGTTTCCTTCCTTGTCCTTTCCGGTTCATTAATAATCGTATGACGCTATATGACAGAGTTACTCGCAACGTCGTCATAAACAAATGTGACTGGATTACGGAATGTGACAACTGTTGTCAGACAAGGACACGTGTGTATAAACACGTTTGCATCGAAAATTGTGTGTCACACCGGTTAAGAAACACAGGGATATTAAATTAACAAGATATACGAAATAGAATCTTGAACCAAGAGCCTTGCATGTAATTTTCCGAAAACAATAAAATTAACTAACTCTATACTGTATTTTAAAATTTCATTTACGTTACATATTGAGTCGAAAACGACATCTCGTTCAGATTAGTTATCACCTATGCAAAGTTCAAACTGATATCAACAAAATACAATCGTAACAATGATATCACAAGTGTAGTCCACAAAACAATTTCATTTATGTTAGCAAGTGAGGCACGATGTTTCATTGTCCTGTCCAGCACCATTGTCATGGAGATGTTCGTTCTATTGTTTTTTTCGACCTAGCATTAATTTGTTGTAAAGCGTGCCGTAGCAATGGGTGGGCATTTATGACTTGGTACAGAGCTGTACCATGCAACAAGAAAGGAAATTAAGAGAAAAATCACATTTAAATTCGCCGTGCCTGCATGCCCTTTAAAACTATGAACGTATTTTCTCAAAATTTGATATTTAAACTTAACATTTGTCGACAGATTTC